TATGAAACCCTTAAACATGAACATGTAACACTAACAAACTATTTGACATTATTATTTGGGTTCAAAGACTCCCTTTCTCTAAATGTTTATAGCACCATACCAGTTATTTCAACTGAGCTGACACAATGAATTTCAAATGATCTAATACTTTTGACTTACCAGAGGATTAGCACATGATTACCCTGAGTAAAAGGATTATTATTACTGCTGCTCTAAGATATTAACACTTTCTGTAACACACTCTAAGGGTGCCGTATAGATCACTGAAAAATGTGACAGAATGCATGGGGGAAGGGGGATTTTAAAAAAGAAAGGTGGTAAGTGTTCTTCTCTTTTAAGTTTCCTTGCTTAAAATACAGTGGGCCTCCCAATGGTAGAATCAACATTTTGTATGATGCTTTCAGTGGGTAGACAAGTCACAGATAAACAAGTCCAGCATTCAATGCACTCGGGAAATTAAGCCACATATGGCCTTCTTCCCGTGAAGATCAGGCTCCAAACAAAAACCCCCACTTTGTAATAGACAACTAATTCTCATGTAATGAATGACAGAACACAGCATTAATGTACTTAACAAGACAGAGCAAAATTCAATGAAGCTTGACGCCGTTTGTATGAAAAAGGGTTACATTTGTAGACAGAGCCAAAGGGAGAGAGAAAATCATTCTGAATCCCGAGTTAAATAGTGCAGCTTCTGCTCTGGTTTAGCCCTCTCACTGGAAATAAAGATCAGAGCTAAAATATCACCCTTAAAACTGGCAGCAGCAAAGAAAGCTAAATACCACTGTATTAAAATCCCTTACTGACTGACAAAGAGGCAACAGCTAACGGACTTTGCTCGGAGCTTTTACTGGCAAAAGTGTTATTTCTTCATGGCTAAATTCCTGATCCATTAAAAATGTGCCCCTTCCCTACCAGACTTCATGATATGCAATTCTGCCAGCATCTGATATCATGATAAAAATTTCAGACAACCCAAATGATGACTTACTAGCTCCTGAAACTTCTACATACAGCATCAAAACAAAAGACAGAGAAGCAAACCATGTGACACAAAATGAGTAGGTAGAAAAGTTTCTTACGTAGAGCTACCATAAGAAAAGATTTGTAAAAGCCTATGAATACCACAGTACCAACTCCCCTTTTTCACTGTAAGTGCAGAAAACAGATTTTAAACTACATTTAAAAACACAGCATATGAACAATGCTGATCATTCTGAAAACAATTTATGAATTATAAGTAGATGAGTGAATATTTTAATTCCTTGAGCAGGATTACAGTAAGAACACTGATCTAAACAGCACACTTTATGCATCTGGTGATATGACTTATTTCTGTAGGATGTTCTTACACACACAGAGGTAACACCACCTGGAACTGCTATACCTTAAGGCAGGGAAACCTCAACTTTCCACTTCTCTCCTCTATCCACAATGTTATCTGGTTCTGCTGTTGTCACAGAGCCAGGGAATAAAGCTCTTCCAGAAAACTCACCCAAGATCAAACTGTGCCTGGTGACAGCAATGTCCAGGCCATAAGTAATGTTCAAAGGATTCAAAAACGCCTGTGACTGATCATTCTCTTTCCCTTGCCATCACCTGCTGATTTTGTCCAGGTGTTTTATGGCTATCTTGAGGATCTGGAGAGCAGACAGAGGGAAGACTTTGCCAATTTCTTTTGTCTGGGATTGTGAATTCCTTACACAGATGGTGGACAGCCTCAGCCCAGGGCAGCACCAGGGTATATTGCCTTCAACCTCCAAATGGAGAAACAGAGGGAAACTTTTTCTTCTTCCACAACACTGCCTGTAATGTGTCTGTGGTTAGCAAAACTGAGACAGTATGGCTTCACAGGGAGTAAAATGACGAAGGAAAAAAGTTACAAGTAACTTGAAAATATTTACTTGAAGTATTACTAAGCATTTGCCAAGGAATCAAAATGTTAATGAGCAAGATGATTCTAGGAGCAATGTGCTTCTATTATAATGACTTATACAAGGTTTCAGTTACTTTCTCACTTGTATATCAAAGACACCAGATCTCCTAAATTAACCAAAATAAGACTTTGAAAATCCAAGTCAACCCTTCAAAAGCAATTACACTGCCGTGGTGGAAAGAAAATTGGACTGGTATCTAGACCTAAGCCATCCAGTATGGTAGCCACTAGCCACATGTGGGTATTGACCACTTGAAATGTGGCTAGTCCAAATTGAGATGTGCTGAAAGTGTAAAATACACTGAATTTTGAAGGCTATGAAAAAAAGAAAAGACAATGTCTCAATAAACACTCACATTGATGATATATTTTTTATATTTATTATATATGGAAATCATAATTTTTGATATACTGGGTCAAATGAAATACATTACTAAAATCAATTTCACCTGTTTCTGTTTCTTTTTACTTTTGTAGTGTGGCTTTAACAATTATTTCTACTAGACAGTACTGGTCTGGACATTAGGATTCCTGTCCACTTCAATCTCTTGTTGGTTGTATGACCATGGTCTTCTTAACCTCCTGAGCTTCATCATTTCCAAATGAGAGGGATGAAAATCAAGGACATAGATTCTAAATTTTATAGTTCCCCAAATTATAAAATTTTATCTAATTATTTTTCAGACTTTCATTCCTAAACTCCCTGATTCATTTTCATCTGCGCCCACTCTAAAACAAGCAGTGAAGAACAATCAATAGGAAAACAGGTTTTATTCATTAGTCAATTAATTTAAGAACCTATAGCTCCCTCTGATGACTTTTAGACTAAAATTTTTCAGAATTTGCATAATATTTTTAATGTAGACAGACTTACTAATCATGAGTCCTATCAGTGATGAATAACTCAAGATGACATATCAAATAAAGAATATCTATGCCTTAAGTGGATGTGGATTAACAAAGTGATGAATCAAGTTGCTTGTTTTGTGAATTCAAGTTCACTCTCACAGGTACACTTGATTGCAATCCATTTGGTCAGAAGGTTACCAAAGCCTCAGTGAAGGTTTTTTCACTAAATCCAATAAAGTATATCTGAAATTATAAGATACAATGTAGCTGATCCCTCTTGCAGGCAAAATTTTTGACACAAATAGCTGCACAGATTTCATCAGTTATACCTAACTTCGTGATAATTCATAAAACACCTCTTCACATGGTTCTTAGATGGGTGGCCAGGCCAGGAGGAGGGTATTTTTAGAAGCCTGTTGCTCCCACAACTGGCACTAACTGGCAGTATTAGGTGATTACAAAGGGCTAAGGGAAACACATGTAAAGAACAATTTCAGGTGACAATTTAAATGCTTAATTATATACTTAAAAAAACTTACTATTTTTATTTCTCTACTGTTAAAAAACCATAAACAACTTTATTCTCTGCCTTCCCTAATAATAATAAACATTTGGTTTTATAGGTTATACTGAAGATTTGAATCAGTTTGCTGTCTGAATCAAAGAAAGAAAACATAAAACAGGAGAAGATTAAATGCAAGTCAGAAATTCAGTATCTGTTTAATACATGTATTTTTACCAAAATGATGGTGAAACTAAGCTACACATCGTGGTTCACTGAAAGCCTTTGTTGGAATACATTGTTGGACATGTAAGACACACATATATCCTTGCTTTATGGACGTATTCCAGTAAACGAGACAGAAAGTAGTCAGGTTAGCCACCAGAGATTGAAAATGCGGCATACAAGACTCAGGAGTTAAAAACTAGGAGAGCGAGGGCATACTGTACCAGACTGAATTATTTCCTGTCATGATGTGTTTAAAATTCTAATAGAAAGGTAGCAGAAAAGAGAGATCAATAAATTATGTTATATTCTCTGTATCCAAAAGGAAGGATTTTCTAAAGAAATGAAAAGACCAAAGTAAAAGGCACTAACAAGTAGATGCAAGTGAATGGGGTAGAACAGTATTGTCAAAGCTAAGGAGCCTGCAGAGAAAACCATCAGAATGGCTTAAACAACTACACTTTGTAAAGCAATTCAGCCGACTATTTAAAAATTTCAACATAATATGATGTATACCTGATTTTAAGGATCTAACTTACATGCAAGAAAAACATTAGTTTAAATTATTTGCTTTTTAAATATTCCTAATGCATAACAGATAAATACTAAAGTGAGGCTGGATTAATTCACAGTTGCTCTAATACTAGATGTATGTGGATCATAAAGTAAATGGATCTTTCCAAAAGCCTTTGGGAAAACCCAGTGAGGCCAGTTTTGAGATCTATCAGTAGCAGGAAAGGCAAAAAGGATTCAGTAAAAAGCAAAGCAGAAGGGAGGAAATAATGTTACCTTAGAAACTGATTTATTGTGTATTTCTGTCCCCTTGTTTAATGTTTCTTAAAACAGAGAACATGATTTGCTTAAATGTCAAACTTGGAAATTATATCGATCTCAAAAGATCACTTCGTTCAATATTAAGTTTTAGCCTAGTCAAGAATTTCTTAAGATATACCAAATGTATTTTAAAATATTTTTAAGTGCTACTTCAAAACTCTAAAGTACAATGTTTTTTAAAAGTCTTATTTCTTCACAGCAAGGAGCTTCCAGAAACCACTAAAACATTCTTGCCCTTTGAATGTTTGGGCATGGTCTCTTCATGTGTTATTAATAAGCCAGACGAAGTATTTATATTAATGGCCATACAATGAATATTAAACTGCATGGGCACTCATACCACAGGGCTATGAAAACCGAAAACCACCTTCACGTGGACTTGCCAAATTACCTGATTATACCAAACTTTTCATGGCTGAACTAAAGTTATATAAACGTTCACTATGGCAACAGCACCAGATATATGCACAAAGAAATATCTGCAATTTTAAAGGGGGAAACAAGAAAAACTGCTCACACAACATAAAAGTTAATTTTACATTAGTATCATTAATATTATACTCACACTGTAACAGCCAAATAAACCTTGTGCTTTAAAAACAGATCAGGTCACTTGAGTCGTCTGCTGCATTCTGCTAAGAAAGCAAAACCTACCATGCATGGCAAGTGTTGACACTCTTCCTCAATGACTTTTATTGTCTCTGGTCAACTTGTAAATCTTCTTTTTCCAAGTATAGAATCAGAATACCTCACTTGTAGAAAGTTACATCAATGGTATTAAAAGCATATTGAAAACTTTAAAAAATTGATCCAAATGGAAGTCATGCTTTTTAAAAAAATCAAGGTTATTTCTCTAGTTTATCTGAGCATTTAAGGTTTTTTAATCCAACAAGTATTTCTTTAAAGAATGATCTTTATGTGGCTGAGATGAGAATGCACACATGATAGTTTTTCAAGGCCAGCAAGCACTTCCTAACCAAATCCCCCACTTCCTCTGCTAGCTAAACATAACTACTTCAAATGTGTACATCCTTTAAAAAGTTAGAAGAGAGCACCTCGCATGTAATAGCAGGCAGCTGGGAAGCCAATTGGTGCAGTCAGAGTGCACATTTTAGAAAGCAGCTTTTTAACATTCAATAACTAAGTGGTAATTGGGCAAAGAAACATAAACTGTCAAACTGAATCAAAACCCCTTTGCTTTTCAGAGAATTATTTGTAAGATTATACTAGAATTAAATTTGAACATGCGTCTACCCTATGCATTCAGTCAAATTATGAAACAAAAAAAAAAATGTTGTGCTTTCTTTGGATAAAATTAATGTCAGCTTTGTGTCCTTAAACCAGACCCGATCGGGAAATGAAATATGTTTAGTCCTGAAATAGTTGTGGTAATTCAATCCCTGCACTCTCCTTATTTTCTTGATGACAAAGAAAAACTCCCAACTGGCAGGGCCACCTGCACTGATTACTCTTCCATCCACACCCACAGAATATGAAAATGAGCCAATGATCATTAACCTTAATTTCTTCTAACATAAACCTCAGCTCTTTTTCAGTCTTGCTACTCAGGGAACTCCCCTGAGATAAAGGAAAAGAGAAGGGGGGAAATAAGGAAATAGGGAGTGAATGCTCAGAGCAAAAGGCGGGGGGCGGTCCAAGTGAAAAGTGGAATCCACTGGCTTTTTAAAAACTGCACAGCTGGCTTATTAAACTTCATACAGAAAAGAGGTTACAAAGATAAAGAGATTCTGAGGCATCACTAACTCTCTAGATAGTGGGATACTTTCCTTCCTAAGCAAACAATGAGAAAGGCTGCTTCCTCTCCACCCTCCCTACGCCCGACCCTGGGCATCCCATTGCTCCACCTAGACATCACTATATAAAGATAGCCAGCGATAAAGATGGGTCTGTGCAGCAGGAACGCATGTGTGTTGGTAAGATCTCCAGTATGAGGACAAAAGGGCCTCTACGACCAGAAGACAGATTTCCAAGGTAGGCACTTGCAATTACAGTGGAGAACGTCTAGCACCTTCTGGTCATTCACATTCAAATACAGCCAACTGGAATCATTTTTGGTCCAAGTTGTGTGGAGCTAGATACCATTAGGATGACATCATTTTCTAATGGATGAGGAGCTAGTTGGGGCCCTTAAAAGAAACACAACTAGGAAGGGAGCAGGAAACCTTCAGAAATACCAGTCTCTTTAGCACAGATGTGTGTACCGAAAATTATCTTGTAATGTTTGCCTACAGACCTTGGTATATCTTAAGAGGACTCCTCAAAGATAAGACCACAAAAGTGAGGAACAATTCAACATGGCAACCACATATGACCCTATGTAAAGCATTCCTGAAGCTGAAAGGAAAACAAACTTCAAAAATCATTACACTGCTGAATGAAAGCGGGAAGTCTTTAAAATGTGGGTATTTCGCTAAAAATATTAAATGAAAAGACAATAAATGCTTAAAGAATATAATAAAAGTCAAAGTGTTTTTTCCTGCAAGTATATTTTCAAGATGCATGTTGCCTACCCAGTGCAGGTAGACACAACAAAACTTTCATCTCTCAGTTATCCCCTCATTATTTCAACCTCAAATCAAGTAGCAGTCATGAGGAGAGTGAGATAGAAAGGCAGAGAAAATAAACAAAGACAAAAACAGAGACCTGGTTGCAATTTGGTATTGGATTCAGAAGCCCAATTTAAACTAAAACCTGACTCTGGGGTGCTAGCCCTCACCTCCTTCTTGACTAGCCTACAAAACGTAAAAGGCAAACACACACATACACCCTGTCTTCTTTTTTCTTTCTCCTTTTTTCCCCTCTCTAATCAGGCTCTCAAAAGTCAGTGGTCCCCTCTGGAAGTGAGGACAGGCTGTTGAAGTATTCAGTGCCATGAGTCATTTTACTAGACGTTCTAGCAACTGCCTGTGACCCAGCAGTGAGCCAAGATAGCAGGGCTTTTAATAAAGCAGCACTTTTGCACACTCACAGCCCAGTTAATTTAATACCTGCCGCTTGTTTACCAAACAGCACAGGCATGTCTCTGTGTCGATAACTTGCCAGTGACAGTGAGGCGACTGAATCTGGGCACAGAACAGATGCACCTTTTTACGCTCTGTTAAACTGTGTCACAGACTACAGCCCCCGAGCGCATTCCTTTATTTATCCTGCAGCCAGCTGAGCTAATTGTCAGAGACAGACCTGGTTCTAATTCTGCAGAGTCCAGCAACTGCCGGAGTGTATGTAGTGAGGCATGAATGGTACAGAACTTAAGAAAGGAACAGTTGAAAAACAGAGTCTGAGGGTAGAGGCATAATCTGCCAATATTTTACTTAGACTTTGAAAATACCACCTGTCTCAATAGCAGGTTATGGGAGTGGGGACAAACGTAAAACAACCCCAGTGTCAGAATGAAGCAGAAGCAAGCAAATGTCAAAGCATATTCCTATGTAAGGAGAACACAACACAGCAGCAATGGCATTCATTTTCCAAAGAATATGGTTCGGCCAGTGCAGTTGTAAGATATTCACAAGCTCAAAAACCTGCTGATAACAGGCCAGTATTCAATACAGCTCACACCAGCAGTTCTGCACAATACCAGGATTGAGCATTACAGAGACACCCTGATGTAAGCCCATTAATGACACCAAAATTACTTAAAAGACTAGTCTCTCAATCCTCCAGCCATACAACTTGAGTCTGCTTGATCATGTGTAGACAAAGAAACTCCCATTTATTGTTCTCCTCATACCGTGTGGTATTAGAAGTGTTTCTTATGAGCTGTAATACCATACTCATATTTTATCAGTAGCAAGAGTTCACTCCAGTTAAAGTTCTTCACCCGTCATGGGCATTTTTCAGCAAATTAATGTCTTTTACTTGCATGACTTCTCTTCATATTATAATTTGGGGTTTAAACGGATCATAATACTTTACAGAAAGTAAAAAGAGAAAAAGAGCTCGGTGTTGATAATTTTTACCACTTATGACTAAATGACCTCAACTGAGGAATAAAAAATTAAGTCATTTGTCTTATGAGGTACAGACGACATTTTACGGTGTACAATTTAGCTAATAACGGGTTCAGGCCAATCCTTAAGAAGTCACATGTTTCCATTGTCCCTTCACCCCCCGCTTATGTTTTTACCACATCCTAACAAAAACATGACCAGAACTGGTGAAAAACATACGGTTCCAACTAATGAATCACATACTTTCCCGCAAGTACAGTAAGTACTACCAGCTGTGTGACAGTCTTGCTTTGGCAGTGGGACCAGCTTAGAACAAGCCGGCCCATCTGAAAGCAGCTGTACTGAAAAACCACAAGCAATATAAGTGTGTCTGCCTTCTCAGGGCGGCTTTGTCTCTGTTCTGTGTCTCTGCTCTGTCCCCAGAATGTGCCAGCCATCTTGTTTAGAGAAAGTTTCAGAAATTACAGAGGTAGGGAGAAAATCCACACATTCAAAAACCTTAAGTTTTCAGAAAGTGTTGTCACTTTATCAAGTGGAACGCTGCAAGAGGTCAATTAAAGGAAAACACCTCTCTCCCACATCCAACCTTCCATATGCATCTTTTGGGGTTTGCCTTAGATTAAAAAGTGTGCATATTTATGTATCTAAATAAGTGAGGTGGGAGACGGGGGGAGGAACGGCACAGGATCCAGCTACTTACAGATGGGCTGACACATGCATGTGAACACACACACACACACACGCAGAGCAATTCGCAGATTATCAACTCATGCCATAAGCTACTGCAAAAAAGTTCTATGATTTTAATCTTGCCATTTATACAACAATAAGCTTCATTTGTAACCACAAAGCATTCTGAAAAAAATTCCCTGGCAAACCCCAGATATTTTTACACAAATGCACTTTTCCTTTCTGTGAAACAACATTCAACTGGATAATCACTGGTGTTAAAGGGAAAGAAAGTCCAACAGCATTGGTCTAGAAATGTAAGTGGAAAACAGTAGGATTTTTAAACTTCGGTAGTGTCTGAAGGCAGTAACTAATTAAAATTATTTTAATGTCATTAAGTGATCAGTAGCTTGTATGTAGCACCTAAGTACCATCTCAGGCTTGTTCTGCAAAAAATAAATACCTACCATCGTCTTTCTTGACTTTTCCAAAGTCTCAATCAGAAAAATAAATACAAAGTAGTGAAGTTATTTTTGGTTTTTCTGAGTGTTTTACATACAGAGAAATCAAATGTAAGGACTAATCAGGAAGGTTTACCTTTTATGTTTACTTTTATTGCCTAATTTAGCCAAACACATTACTCTAAACTATAATGTTGTAAAGATGCTTGATTTGGCAATAATCTAATCCAAAAGTTATATTAACATCACATTTTTGTATTTATACCATAGTTGTGTGAATAATTTTTGTTTTGAATGAGCTATCAACGTAATACTCAAAAAATGGTCAGAAGACTCACTACATTCAGAAGACTCACTACATTAGTTAGAGAAGATCTTGGCCCCTGTGGTTTCTTCCTAAAATTCACTCTTCCTAAATGAACTTTAATGTTTGTGTGTTTGGTGAAGTTGAGTGCTGAGCTGGTCAAGGGCAAGTGCTTAGGGTGAATCTAGAAATCACATTGATCCTTATGACTGGATAAAGGCAGACAGCAGAATTGGGAGCACCAACAGTAATGGGGAAAGAGTAAAGGATGAGCATCTGCAGGCATACATTGGAGGAATTCAGGTTCCATTACAAACCACCACATAAAGCGAGTCACATAAATTTTTTTTTTTGGTTTCCCAGTGCATATAAAATTTATGTTTATTTGATACTGTCGTCTATTCAGTGTACAATAGCATTATGTCTAAGAAAAACAGTATACATACACTTAAAATACTTTATTGCTAAAAAATGCTAACAGTTGTCTGAGCCTTCAGTAAGCTGTAATCATTTTGCTGGTAGAGGGTCTTGCCTAGATGTTGATGGCTGCTGATTGATCAGGGTGGTGGTTGATGAAGACGGGTGGCTGTGGCGTCTACTCATAAAATAGACAGTTTGCCGCATCCATTGACTCTTCCATTCAGAAAAGATTTCTCTGTTGCATTTGATGCTTTTGATAGCATTTTACCCACACTAGGACTTCTTTCAAAATTGGAGTCAACTCTTTCAAACTCTGCCACTGCTTCAATTTATAAAAGAAATGCAGTATCTGTAGAGTGCAGTAAAGCCAAGTGCAATAAAAGGAGGTATGCCCATGTTCAAGCCTGAAGAACAGACTCAGTTAATACATAGCCTTAAAAAACAGTACACTGATAAACAGACATATAATTTTAAAAGAATATTGACTCATTTATAGCATTAGTTCATGTTAAATCTAATAAAGAATACTAGTCTAAGAGGGAAAAATCTAAAGCTGGATTATTAAATTACACAGTAAAATCTATCAAGAAAGAGCTAATATGGCTGAACCAAAATTATGATTAAATTATGATAAAAGCATTAAAACTCAGTTATTAATAACATGGAAAGATAGTTACAAAATATTGATAAGCAAAAAGCAGCTAACAAAGCAGTGTACTCAGTATGATCCTCTATGTTTAAAATGTATACAAAAGAAAAGTGAAAACATAAAATGATTAACACCTGTGTGGAAGGAACTATTGGCAATGGTTTCACTCTTGTTAAATTCCATTTTCTAAACTTTATTTATTTAGCATGTATAAACTACACATAGGAAAAATAAGTGTACTTCTTTTCCTTTTTTTAAACAGTGTAATAAATTTTATTTTTAAGAAATCTAGCAACTAGATTTCTGGTCCTCACCAGTAGTTACACTGCAAAACCTGTGTATTATTTTAAAATGGGGAGCTTTTCTTTTTTTTTTTTTGAAACAGAGTTTCACTCTTGTTGCCCAGGTTGGAGTGCAATGGCGCGGTCTCGGCTCACCGCAACCTCTGCCTCCCAGGTTCAAGCGATTCTCCTGCCTCAGCCTCCTGTGTAACTGGGATTACAGGTATGTGCCACCACGCCCAGCTAATTTTGTATTTTTAGTAGAGATGGGGTTTCTCCATGTTGGTCAGGCTGGTCTCAAACTCCTGACCTCAGGTGATCAACCCACCTCGGCTTCCCAAAGTGCTGGGATTATAGGCATGAACCATCACGTTCGGCCTGGAGCTTTTCTTAAAATCAAGAATTGATTTACTTTGAACAATTCTTTAAAACTACATTTATGGGGTACATGCGTGTTCTCTATAAAATCTCAAGACAAAGACCAAACTTACTTATCCTCTCCCCAACACCAAGTTTCCCAAGAATATTCTTTCATAATTTGAGCCAAAAGCTAGCCTTTGCTAATTCAAATTTTGCATAACTAATGAACCACAGATCTAAATCTTTATCTTTCTAACAAAAATACCTTTAAATAGCACTTAATTGCCAAAGCATTCCCATAAAGTAAGAACTCATACCCCCATCGAATCACCATTACTTCATCCCAAAGCCTAGAGACTGCCCTGTAACACACAGTCCAGGGCACTGGAGTAGTATATAATACCATCACAGGATCAATGCAACAGAGCGAATCTGTTAAATACGCTTATCCACGTTGAAACATGGCAGAAATAACTAGATTAATAACCATACTCTTGTAATAAGGGACTTAGAATCACAGTGAATAATCAAGAAGATTTATTATTAAAGAAGCATTCAAAGTTTTTCATTCTGCAACTGAGAGGGCTGGTATGAACACTCATTTGGCAAATACTTATTAACTGATTTCCGTGGCCTACCATCATGTCCAATGTTTGGGTTTGAACAAATATAAAGAGAAGCTTCTTGACATAAAAACCATCTAGTGAAGGAGAAAATTCAAGTAATTTTAACACGTTGTGCAGAAGAGTAGAAACACACAGAGCTAGCTTTCCAGAGAAACAGAAGAAGGCACCAACTCAGGTGGGGCTTTAGAACGACTTCAGAAAAAAAGACAGAACATAATGAAGCTTAAATACAAGTTTAGTAGACAACCAGGCAAGATAAGGCCCAGGGGGAAAGGAGAACAACATGGGAGAATGTTCCACAATAGGAAATAGTACAGAATCAGCAGAGAATTACCAGCTGATCTGTGTTGCTGGGGCAACAAGGCTGAGGCAAGAAATGACAAGAATGGTGGACAGAGAAAGGGGCAGGTCCAATCATGCAGGGTCTTGTTTGTCCCTTTTAAAGACATTCTAGGTTTCCCTTCACCTAATTCAGCAGCAAGAAGTCTCCTTACTCCAGAAGAGTCAGGACTACATATGATGGTAGGAACTACTCCCTCCTTTTTTTTAATCCTTATTTTTATTTCAAAAAAGTATTTACTAAACCCCTTCTATGTGCCAAGCACTGTTTTAGGCACTGAGATCTCAGGATCAGACAGTCTTGCTTCTCTGTCCCTGCAGGAGCTCACTTTCTGTTGATCCTCCACACTCGGTAATAATTTCTTTAGAGGCACAAACAAAAAAACTGGCATGGCCGTGTATGTCTTCTGGAGTCTGACAGCTAGGAAAGACTAAAATGGGTGGAAAAAATCTGTGTATGTAAAAGCACCATATTCCCAAATCATTTCATCAGTTCACATTCTGCCAAACTGATGAACTCTTAATTTAAGGGAATAATTTGCCAAGGCTCTGCTAATTGCAGATATTAGCATATCAGACCCACCAAAACTTAGAAGACTTATTCTCTTGATAAAGTAACAGATATGGCCATTTTATATAAGCCCTAATGCAGACAGCGTACACTTAGGTCTAGAACACATCTTTGCTCACCCATTACACTGAGTACAGACTGCCATATCTCTGACTGAGACACCCATCCCAAGGTCTAATTTAACTCCATTTGGGAAGATTCCAGATGCAAGAGTGTGATGCAAATTTTGATGGCTCAAATTTTAGCACCAACTTTTATGCAACAGTCTATACCCTATAAAAGCCACTTTCTCAATAATTCCTAAAGCAATAATACTCTTAGGGAAAACAATATAATCGAGTTTTATAGGAGGGTAGGTTTCTTAATACCAGCTGGCAATATTTGGGCCCCAAAGCATGAGAACTGATCATATTAAAATCCAGATACCAGCTATTATATCTAAAATTGTTGCTTCATTCATATTTAGCATGAAGAGGAGCCTATCTAAAGCAGGCTCTATTTAATACAATGTGGTTTTAATTGGAGTCTGTTTTAGATGAGCCACCTGTATTTCATCTTTTTAAAATTATCCATAATTTTCTGCACAATTTGCCTCTGCAACATAACGAAGAACAGTTAGTTATAAATTATTGCCATTGTTTGGATATCTAAGAAGAGGAAAAAGAAACTCTCTATTTACTGAAATACGATGGCCCTGTACCAAAGAACAAAATGGGGAGCCCAGGGTTCTAGTTCTGTCCCAGTGCACAAATGAACAAGGCCGTACATAACTGTTATTAATAAGCCTTAACTAGAAAAATAACAGATTAAAACCCTGTTAGTCTTACTCCAGCTAAACTTCATTTATGGCTACTCTGAAGCCTACTGTTACAATAACTAAAGTCTCATATTCTTTACTATTTAAAAAAAAAAAAGAGCCTCTTTTTTAAGCATTTCTAACTGTGAAAATTTTGTTTCCAGCAACTACCTCAAATAACTTTTTTTTGGTAGTGTGGTAGCTCTACTTTGCAATTATTTCTATACCAATATATTCTTGGTTTGTTTTCAACCAAAACCATTCAAAAATTTTTATAATATCATTATTTCTATTATATTTTCCATCTTCATTGTTTTTATCTAATAATTGTTAAGGTATCTGGAAATACAGTATATCATAACATCGTGACAATGTTTCCTATTCAGATCCAAGTAAATAGCAGTTTGCAAACTAAGCTATGTTTATTCGTGTGATGGCTATAAGAACCACCCAAAGAAAACACCTAAAATGCAACTTTTAAAGAAGATTCTTCAATCAATCTGTTCTGAATTACCAAAAATATACCCCAATGTATAAGTCAGAATTTCAGAGGGTGTAAAATATATTAAAATTATTTTTTGATAACATGCTAAAATAATGATTACTCTAGGCTATTTAGCAAAAGATAAAAATGCCACAATCCATTTAAATGTGCTGACACTGTTTATTAAACTACCCTATCCAAGCGTTTCTCTTGATGCTTACCAGTGAATACAAGTGATTCCTAACTAGTACTTCTCCTCTAAACAGACTGTTCCACAACAAGACTCTGCTCATCTTGTGTTCTGACAGGACTATTTATATGAATAATATTCCCCACTTGCAATTTGTCCACCATGCTAATTCAATGGACTTAGGTATGCTATAGAAACAGCATCTCTTTTGCAAATGTCAATGTATTTTTTTCCTTCAATATTCTGTATCTATTCCTCTATTATTAAGTTGTGAGCTTGCTTTACTTTGTCCCCTATTTAAAACATTCTGATTTGAGAGTATCACCAACAGCTTATGTGATTTTCCAAATTTCTCAAAATACAGTTGTCACCATTAGTCACATGAAGTCTGGATACTGTCTGGTGACAAATAGGTAAACCAAATATGATTATTGTTATTAAGAGTAACCTCTGAGAATTACTGCCACTTAGTCACCAAAATTATCCTATAATTAGATCTTCAAATATCTCATTCTTAAACCCAAAGTGTGAGCCCAAGAAGCAGTGTACACTGAAGGGAGGGGGAACACATACTAATAAAGGCGTTTTTTTTTTTTTCTTTTCTTTTAATCCAACCCAATAACACCAGCAATTTCCTTACATATATCATTATGGACATTGTAGCTTGAGTTCAGTGCCACTTGATAGAATCTATCAGTAATGTGGTCTGTAGAAATTACATACCATATACTCCATATGGAAACCTATTTTCAAAATAACCTATGCTTAATAACAAACACTATAACTTGGGGTATCTTTTGCAGTTTCTCTTGCACTCTTTGCCGCACTATTTCAGCAATCTGTCTGTACAGATATTTAGTCTATGAAGCCAAAGCTTTTAAATTTTCTCACTGTAGCTAAAAAGAGATTAATTTTATCCCATGTCACATTAGGTACAAGATAACTGGACTCTTTAAAAGACACCATCAGAAATTATCTTGATTCAGAAATTACTCTGAACACTAGTAGGTAACAGTGTTCCTGAATAATTGTGGAAATTACTGATTTCGTTTATTTACTTTATAATTTTATGTATTTTTTTCTTGGTCTCTGTCAGATAAAATTGGTTAGTCAATGTGCCACAAACTCTAACTCTATTTAATATTTTATAATACTTTTGAATACTTTGATAACAGCAAGTATTTTTTCATTGTAATAAATGTGGTCTGGTCTTTATGTCAAAAATTTATAAGAAAAAGCTATTTTACTGGAAAGTAACAAAAATAATTGTGATTAGGATAGAGCACGAATTAATATTGCAGATTTTTGTGTGTATGCAAAAGATATAATTTGAAGTCATATTTCAAAATTGGACAGACAATTCTATTATAGAGATTTCTTGGCCAACTTTTGTTGGCAACTCAAACAAGCTAAATATATTTCTAGATACGATCTATAATAAACTCAACAGATAAGTCACAGAAATGTTTAAGATTTGGTGCCTAGAGGCCATAATCAGTTTTTAAAAATAAAGGTTTCTTTAGTACAGAGAAGGCAAATTTCCTTATTTAAAACCTAACAAACAATACATTCCACACTCCATATAGCAAAGGGTAGGATGGTGGTTAAGGGCAGGGGACAAAAGAGTTCTCAAAAAGTAAGAGAATGTGTAGAACAGGGTATACATTAATAGGGTTGGTTTGTTTTATTAATATTCGGAGACTGGAAATAATTCAAACTTAAGATAGAAAAAAGACTCAAAATCTGCACAAAG